CAGAGATGTTTTGCGTGATTAGTACCCCTTTTCCACCGACAGGGCGCTAGTTCCCGTCCCTGGCACCATTTTGTGTGTTTACACTAATTAAATGGCCTGCTATGCCACTAAAGCCCAAAATATACTTGAGTTTTATGCATTCACTAGAGTATGCGTACAGTGTTCAGTGTGAATTTCTTCATCACCGTAATAGTGTATGTGTGTATAGCTTTTCTAACCATGCATATGTTAAAGGGTTAGTTCAGCCAAAAATTAAAATTAGCCCATAAATTACTCACCCTCGAGGCATATTAGGTGTATATGACTTTCTTCTTTCAGACAAATCCAGTCGGAGTTATATTCAAAATTGTCTTTGATCTTTCAAGCTGTTTAATGGTAGTCAGTGGGTGTTACGGTGCTTCAGTTCAAAAAGTTAAATAAAAAGCGCCCATCCATAAAAAATAAAAAAAAAGTGTCTCACGGCTCCGGGGGGTGAACAAAGGCCTCCTGTAGTGAATCGATGCATTTTTGTAAGAAAAATATCCATATTCAAAACATAATCACTTTAATCTAGCTTGCGCCAACAGTTTTACACGGAAGCAGTTCCGGGAGCATCATGAATGAGTTCAGCGCTGCGCATGCGCCGGTGAGTCTCGTGAAGACCAACGTTTGTTAACAGGAGCAAAGGAAGCAAAGTTTCCTTACTTTAGCAAAGGAAAACCAGTCTCCTCTTGTCTTATATAAAAATCCTCTGACAATGTTCTTTACAAATCCTCGTTTTGTACCTCTAGTTAGTGACCGTTGTTTTGTTTTGATCCCTCCCTTGCGCTTACGCGTTCGTCACTTCTGAGCGGCGCATGCGCAACACCGACCTCATACGTCATCCGCCCGGAGCTGCTTCCGTGTACAACAGTGAGCGCAAGCTAGATTAAATTGATTATTACATTTTAAATATGGTTATTTTTCTTACAAAAATGCATAGATTCGCTACAGAAGGACTTTCTTCACCCCCCGGAGCCATTTGAGACACTTTTTTTTTTTTTTATGGATGGGTGCTTTTTATTTCACTTCTTTTGGACTGATGCACTGCAACACCCGCTGAGTGCCATTAAACCGCTTGAAAGATCAAGACAATTTTGAATATAACTCCGACTGGATTTGTCTGAAAGAAGAAAGTAATGTACACCTAGGATGCCTTGAGGGTGATTAATTTATGGGCTAATTTTCATTTTTGGGTGAACTAACCCTTTAAGTTCTCATATGCGGCAAAAATTTTTGCATTTAATAGTTGCTCCACAAGGAGGCAACACTGTTTTGTAATCCCGAAAAAAAAAAGAAGAAAGAAATGGATGCGATGGAACAACAATCTACAGCAAATGCAAGCAACAGTATACAGCTGTGTTGACCAGTACAAAGACATTTTATCGGTCATAAATTCTGAAGAGAGAAATTTCGCAGACAAAGGACCGTGATGAAACTTTACTGTGCGATTGCCCATGCTGTCAAATGGAGTATACTTTGAAACGCTGTGTTTGGCTGTACGCATACACTGAGCTTTCGCTTTAAAGCTGAAGTATTCTTTGGGCTTAGAATCATTGGTTGAGGGATGAGATAATGTCCGTACCATGTAAAAGTTTTCAAAACGGCTAATCAGTCTGTCTAATGTAAAACAGAACTAGATCGCACAAACAAAATTATCACGTTTCTAAATTTCCCGAGCTGCCCAACTACTTAAATTTTTTTTATATAATTAAATAAGCTTTTGGCAATTACATCAATGCTAGCTTGTATTGTACCATATTAGTTTGCGGTGAAGTGATCTATTCAGTAAAAATGTGAGTCCATTTTGAGACCCAGCTGAACACAATCACCAGCACCATTTTGGTGGTAAAGGGGGTTTAGGAGAAGAGAGGCCTGCCATCATTTTCAGTTGCGTCTTTTGTAAATAGCAATGTTAATAAAGGCATGGTGCCCTAAGCATTTAAGATCCTAAATAGAGTAAGAAACCTGTTGTGAGATTGATGTTTGCACTGTGTGTACCTGAACAGGTGCAGATGCTGATGGCAATGGGGGCAATCAAGGTGTGTGTCTGCAGTAGACATTCTGTCCTCCCCCACCCACACACTCCCAAACATAATATATGACATAATTACAGGTTGTTCGGGGCCGGTACACCCCCAAAAGAAAGCCTGTATGTTTATTAGCCAGCTGGCTGTGATAGACAGGTTTGTAAG